AAAAAAAAAAAAAAAAGAGAGAGAAAGAGAGAACCAAACCCTAAATCATTTTGCTCTAAGCACTGCCCAGACCCAGGAGAGCTTTAGGATGTCTGGGTTTATTAGTGCCTGCCTTTCTTTTCCCTGCTGTCCTTCCACACTTGCCCAAGCTCTCTTGGGCAGTCATATATATTTGCAGCAATCTTATAACCCAAGATGTGATTATAATTTGTTGAGATTTGGGGAAATTGTATAATTGAACAAAAATACAGCCAGGCATGGTGGCACACACCTGAAATCCCAGCACTCAGGAGGCTGAGGCAGGAGGATCACTGTGAGTTCGAGACCAGCTGGGCTACATAGTGAGTTCCAGGTCAGTCTCAACTACATAGCGAGACCCTGTCTCAAAAAACCAAAAACAAACAAACAAACAAAAATACAGGGCTAGGGATTTAGTTCAGTGGCAGTGCTGGCCTGCCTCAGAAGGTCCAGAGTCTGATCCCTGATGGCATGGCAGGGGTAAGTGGACCACAAAGGCCTGGCCTCTCTGGGGTAAGGAATGCCATTATCCTCTGGTCACCCTGGAATGTGCTAATAAGCAGGCAGCAGGTGCCACCCTCAACACCTGCATCCTCCAGCCCTTCCAGGCACAAGCGCCCCACCACCACCTGCAAGAACTTGTAAATGGCTGCTTAGTTCAAAGTCCAAATCAGGCACTCAAAGTGTGACATGAGTACCAGCTTCACGAGGCCCCACCTGGCACACAGCCTGTACCTCCGCCCCCACCCGAGGTCCCAGCCAGGGGACCCGCTGCTCAGGAGCAGGATGCACTGCGACCCGCATCTGCCGTCTATCTCATCTGCAGTCTGTGTGGGAGAGGAACATCCTGTTTGCCTGCAGTGACTCTGAAGCTCAGACTTCAAAGGAGAGAGGAGAGGGACTGCGCTGGAGGCACCCAGGGCCAGAGGAGGGAGGGAGGGAGGCGGCTGCCTGGGCTGAGAGTGGTGCTGGGCCACTGGGGTTGCCCGGAGGTCCCCAGAGGCCTAGGCCCCTGGCTCCACAAGGCACCCCATGGTGCCAGCTCAACGGAAGGGGGCTACAAACCATGTAACAGGGGCCACTCCCTGCCAGGGCAGGTGTGAAATGCCCTGGTGTGAAAAGTCCTTCCAGCCTCACCATCTGGGGTGGTACAGAGTCGCCAGAGGCAGCTGTGGCCACCAGGCCCAGGAAGACTTGAAAACAGAAAGGATGTGGCTCCCAACAGCCTCCGTTTCCGGGCTGTGCACTGCTCGGCTTGCTAACTCTACACAGGGTCCAGAGAACGGCTGCCCTGCCCAACGCCACTGGCTAAAGGCCTCCTGGGTGTCAGCAGAGGGTCCCACCGCATAGCAGAATGCTCCTGAAAATCTCTCCAAAGCAATGTACCCAGCTACTGGCAACTCCCTGGCTTATCACAGGGCAAGTGAGAGGTCAAATAAATGCTTCCCAGTGAGCGACCAGGAACCACCCAGTGTGTGCAGCGGAGGGCTGGAAAAACGAGCCAGGCTGGGACCAAGCTGTGAGATGTAACCACACACCTGCTGCAGACAGAGTATTCTCTCATGTAATCCCAGGGTGCCCTGGAGGACCCTGATTTTACAGAGGAGGAAATGGGGGCCTGGGGCTCACAGCTCTGCTTGATGGTGTGTACCGATCACCGTTAGCTATGATTATACGTATCACAGATGTGCACCTCCTCACGGCTGAGGAGGACAGAAGTCAGTAAAACTCAGCCCTTAACTGTGAGCAAAGGATGCTGGGAGGCCAACCCTGGAGGACAACTCTCCAGTCCACACTCCTAACCACTAGGCCACGCTGCTGCCTGTGTGGCAGAACAACGTGTAGTCATTACAATGGAGGTCAAGAGCTGAGCGCAGAAAACTTCGTGAATGTTAAATGACCAAACGCTACATATAAAAAAATGCACTAGGGTCAGAGATTTAGCTCAGTGGTTCCACCGCCTGCCTCACAAGCACAAGGACCCAAGTTCGATCTCTGGTACCCCCCCACCAAAATGCACTAACCTTAAAAACAATGGTTCCAACTATGCTCAAGGTTGTGTCTGTGTGTATGAAGGAAATAAGTATCCCTACAAGGGCTGGGGATTTAGCTCAGTGGTTCTGGCACCTGCCTCGAGACCACAAGGACCTGACTTCAATCCCTGGTACCAAAAAAAAAATAATAATAATAATAAGTACCCTTATTTTTGGTAAGGTTTGCAAACTTACCAAACTTACATTTACCTGGAACCTCAGAATGTGATTTTATTTGGAAATAAGGTTAGTTAAAGGGTCAGGGATTTAGCTCAGTGGTTCTGCTGCCTGCCTTGCAAGCACAAGGATCCAAGTTCAATCCCCGGTACCAAAACAAAACAACATGATCCTCTATTTCAAATAAGGTTAGTTAAGGATGTCAAGATGAAATCATCCTGTAATCAGGGTGGTCCCAACAAGGAGTAGTAGTATCTGCTTTGACAGAGAATAGGACACAGAGAGACCAACTGGGGGACGTAGGAACCTAAAGACAGAGGGAGAGATGGGAGCAACGCTGCTACAAGCCAGGAACACCCAGGATAGCCAAGTGCAACCAGAAATCTGGAAGCTGAGAGAGACAAAGAAGGTGCCTCCCTGGAGCCTTCAGAAGGAGCCAGCCCTGCAACGCCTTGATTCCAGATTTCAACGCTCCTGACCTTGGAGAAGTTCCTGCCATTTTGAGCCGCTCGGGTTGTGGTGATCAGTTATGGCCGCCCTGGGAAACTAGAACAGTCAGCTTGTTGATTTCAATTCACTCATACTCGAGCGCTGAAATTGACTTACAAAACCAGGTTTCTCTTAGGAGGAGAGCTGGCCTCACCCAGAAGGACCTTGAGTGCCCCCCAACAACATACTCAGAATCCTGGGGTTGTCTGCAGGGAAGAGCAAAAGAAAGAAGGGACAAATCCGGGGTGAGGAGACACCAGGCGGGCAGCAGGCATTGAAGTAGGGCCAAAGCAGAAAAATGGTCTGCAACAGGCAGTCGATGAAGCAAAAACGCGAACTTGCAGCTGAGGTGTACTCTGTTTTCATATATTCTGGCCAACACAGCCGTGGCTTAGCAAGTTTCCGAGTTTTGGCAGCCAGCACATCTGTGAGCCGAATGCCTGCACCGTAAACAGCTGAGCACCGCTGCCTTGGGACCCAGTCCTGAAGGCTGCCAGAGGTAGGAGTAGGAGGGAAATGAGAGGTC